AGACAAGAATTCTTGCACTGATTCTTTGTCTTTCATAGCTAAAGTTTCAAAATCACGACGAAGAGTTTGTAATTTTATAGTAATTAACTTCTTGTCGCCCAAATATTCCTGCTTCAAAATCTCCCATGCTTGTTTGGAGGTGTTAGTTGCTGAAATTCGGATGAATATGTCATCCTCAAGGGCTGACTGAATTAGCATTAGTGCTTTTGCATCCTTCTTACGATTTTCTTTTAATCGCTGATCAGGTTCTGCTGCTGTCGGATCTGGCTCTTCATATCCGTTTTCCACCAACTCCCATAGTTCTTGAGACTTGAACATCGTCTTCATTTTGAGACTCCAAAGATGATATTTTTCACCTTTGAAAATTGGAATTAGGGGCTGTGCTACTGGGTTGGTTCCGTTACTGGCCATGACTCTTTCAATTTGGATAATTTTCGTTAGTGGTTCACTCGCTACACTCAATCTTCTCTTGAAGGACCGAAACTTGGTTTATCTTTGAGCTTTGATACCACAAATGTTGGTAAAACAGCCAAGAGACAAGTGAATGACAGGTAAATGACGTGAACTTAGTATCATTTTCTCATTTATGTCTTTCTTACCCATGGGATGAATACTGAGTACATGTCTTAAATAATGCTAGGAATAACGGAAAATACTAAAAATTAGGAATATAAACACGAACAGAATAGACTTGGCCAGATATAACTGACCACTAAATAATTGAATGACAAACAAGATTATCCTAAGACCCACTAAATGATAATGATAAAAAACGTGCACTTGACTAATGATAACGGATAATGGCATTTTGAATCATCTTTTCAACAGGATGATGGTGTATGAGTGTATAAGGGGAGAACAGAAGAAGTACGTTATGGGGTTCATTATTTGGGACATGGGACATTGGCTGAATATGAAAGAATAGCGGAGGAACGAGGCTATACTACGCTGTGCTCGTGTTGCGTTGATTGATCGCGATAAAGAAAAATCAATTTGTGATTGCAGGAGAGCATTTGATTCAAGAGTACCTAAAAATAACCAAAATCATGAATAATAATTTTTTCTTTTTTCAAAATTTGACAAGTTTTTTAAGATAATCCTGCCTGAAGCACAAACAGACATTTAATTTTTCGCTCAAAGGTTTGGGATATTAATTTATCCTGTTCGACCCAACCTCGTCGGTATTAATTAATACATTGATTAATTTTGTCACAATAAATAGTTTAATTAATTTTTTTTAATAATTTTGTGTTATTAGAGTTTGAAATATGAATTTGATCATAAATTTATTAAAATAAATTATAAAGAATTTATTTTAATAAATTATATAGAAAATTATTAAAATATAAACTGTTTTAAATATACATTTAATTAATTATTAAACAAACATTTTAATCAATTCTATAAATTATAGTGTGATTTGTTTGGTTTAAAATGTAAAATTTATTCAATACCATTCCATCCGTTGGCAATTTTTTGGAATTTTGGTTTACCATATTTTATATATATATATATATATATATATATATATATATATATATATATATTATAGAATGCAAAATTTATAGGTATTTATCTATTATACGACAAATTTTAATAGTAAAAAAAAATTATTATTAAGATCAAAATAATTTTGAAACATTTTTCTTAATATTTTTTTAATTTTGTATTACAAACAAACGTGTGTAGCAGACAGAGATAGAAATGATAAATTATTTTATATAATAAAATTTTGTATAATTACTAAATTTTTATTTTTGTGAATTATAAGAATATATAATTTTAAAAAATTACTATTGGCAATTTTCAATAAATTTATTAAATTTTAAAATTATCATTGACATTTTTAGGTTTATAAAATTGATTTTGTCAATGAAAAATTAATATTAATGAATTTTACGGGATAAAAAATATTTTATCCTCCTTATTCACTTTTATTTTATTTTTCTTAACCAAGTAAAAATTGTTATGACTTCTTTTACTAACAAAAATCATCTATGACATTTTTTTTACAGGTAAAAAACTTTAATGATCACTTTTATTCCTTAGCATATAAAATGACTTTTCACTCATTCTAATTTATATTAAATTGTAATTGTTCTTTGGTTGCTTTTTAAAAAAGAGTGAAAATATATTAGTATATTATAATAATAACATTCTTATAAACATAAGTAAAGGTACAACATTTAGATGTAACATATCAATACATTTATATTTTTTTTCAATATATACTTTAAGAACTATATATTTGAGTTTTAAGTCAAAAAAAAGTTGAGAAAATCACATATAGGTGTCCACTATCAATTTTTGATAATTTCATACAATTCTAATAAGTAATGACAATTATATTAAACAAATGTAATGAAAACAAAATAAGTTTAAAGGGAAAAGAAAGGAAAGAGTTTGAAGGCATAAAAGTAGATAAGAAAGGATAAAGTAGAGTTAATAAAATAGTTTTAAGGTAAAGATAAGCAGCTAATAATAGTAAAATTTTATTATAGAGAGAAGTATCTATTGTATTTTTATAATTTTAATACAGTAATTGTGTATTTTTTTTAATAAAATTTTTTATTTGTGGATGCTTAAACTCAGCCCTAAAAGCTAAAGTTAATAAAACCTTTAACAAAAAATCTCCCAAATAGGAGAAACTAAATAGCATGAGTTTAGGAGAATTTTGGAGGGTTTATAAACCTCTTCCTCGCATTTTAAAAACTCTTAAACAAGAGTTGTCCCTAAATAAACCTTACCTTTCCTTGCATTTCCTCCCACAAAAAATAAAATAAAATAAACTACCAAACAAAGTATAAGGTGAGACAATAATAGGCTGAGCGAATCTATATTAACACATTACACGATTAATTGTAAATATATCTTAACACATTACAAGATTAATTGTACCTTGAAATATTTCATATCCAAGAAATCTAATTTTCTTTTAGAATATTTTCATATTTTTGGCTGATACTACTAATCCATTTGTTTTTATTAGTTTTATAAATTTATTTATATGTTCTATATGTTATTGAATGTCTTTTGAATATATTAACACATCGTCTAAATATACTATGAAAAATTTCATATAAGGATATTCATAATTTCTTGAAATTCGCTAGGAGCATTTTTCAAACTTTGTGACATTATGTTCCATTCATAATGTCGAAAGGGTACTACAAAAGTAGTTTTATATCTATCTTCATCTTTTACTGATATTTGATAATATCCTGATTTCATATCAAAGTTTGAGAATAGTGTTGCATATACTAATCTTTTTATTAAGTCTTGTTTGCTTGATATTGGATATTGAATCTATTTTAATAGTTTATAGTTTATTATTAATCTGAGTGCTCCTCTTTCTTGTTTAAAGGCTTTATTTACATAAAATCATATACAGCTCTAAGGAGATTTTGATGGTCTTATTAATCCTTTTTTTAAATGATCATCTAACTCTTGTTTACAATATTGTAATTGTTCTTTATTCATTTGTATAGGTTTAGCCTTTGTTGGAATATTTCTTTCATCAAAATTATCTTTATAAGGTAGACTTATCTCATATTGTTTTCTACAATTAAAAGCTATTGGGTTTATATCACAAATTTCTTTTTATATTCTTTTTTCTAAAGTTTTAATTATCTCTTGTATTCTAGAACTTTTCAATTGTTGTTTTATTTTTTTATATCATATTTCTTCATTGATTAATTTGATTTGTTTTTGTTTTTGTTTTCTATTAGTATCTCTTGTAAAAGGTTTAACTCTCTAATTTTTGGGGCTTGTAGAAATTTGAATTCTATTTCTTTTCCTTCTATAACATTACTAATAATTCCTTCATTATTTATTTTACATGGATATAATAATGTTAAAAAAGGAGTTCTTAATATTATTGGACTTGTCATATTTTTAACTAATACAAACGAAGTTGTAAAACAGATTTTGTTTTTACAAATTCTTGTTTTTGATAATTTATATTGTATGTTCATTTTAGATCCATTTGCTGAGGATAATTTTTCTGTAGTTTTTAATATTTTGTAAGGATTAATCATTCTTGTATACAATTTATATCTTCTCCTGAATCTATTAAAGCTATCATGTCAAATTTTTGTTCTTCTATTATTAAAGTGATTTCACACCACCATTTATGTGTTGTAATTAATGATAGTAATTTTATATTAAGTATATTATTTGATACTTGATTTTGTCTTAATTCATATATTTCTTTTTTTAGAATTTTTATTTCTTCTTGTAAATCTTTAATAGTTATACTAGTAGTGGGTGATTTTTCTTCATTTTTCTTGTAAATCTTAATATTTTGAAAATATTAAGATAAAATATTTTCAAAAATTAAAATATTTTATCTTAATATGTCAATGGCTAAAGGAAAGGTTTAGTAGTTAAATACTTTCAATTAATTTAAAATAAAAATGTAAATTTAATTAAAATGTAACTTTTTACATTGTGATTTAATAATAGATACATAGTTAAAAAATAGTTATTTTTATAACAATTACTTTTAAAAATATGTTTAATTAGATTACAGCATAAAAATGTTTACTTCAATAGTGTATCAGAAATAAATCTTTAAAATATTGAATGATTTTTATTTTTTTATAAAAATATTTTTAATATTCGTTTATTTCTTATCACTAATTTATTTTTACCGCTTTTTATTTAAGAGGCAACATTTTTGTGTCAGCAAAATAATTAAAATTGCATAAACTAAAATACAGTCTTAAAGCAACAGGAGGGTTGAGTTGGAAGACTGTGTTAGAAATTGAGACAAAAAAGAGGATTAGAAGAAAGAACAGAAAGCAGCTAGATTATTGGGTAAAAAGAAAGAAAGAAAAAGCATAATGCAGACGGGCCGAAGAAGTTTTTGGGCCCAAAATGATTATTGGATAAAAAGGCATTTGAGAGATGTTACCCGCCAAAAGAAGGGGAGGGTTAGTTGAGTTCTTTGAATCTCTGAATGGGACAATGTGAATGCGGAAGAACACGAGAGAAAGATAATGGGAGTGAATGGGAGCATTATTGTGTACCTAATAACAAGTCTTCTACTACTGTCTACCACAGTTTCAGAATTCCAAGAACCTCCTAAAGATGCAAAACTCTACAGTGACAGTCCCTCAACTGCACCTTCTTCGTCATCTTCTGTAGTGCCGGCGTTGTTCGTCATCGGAGACTCCTCCGTGGATTCTGGAACCAACAATTACCTCGGCACCTTCGCACGTGCCGACCACCTTCCTTACGGAAGAGACTTCGACACCCACCAACCCACCGGAAGGTTCTCCAACGGAAGAATCCCCGTCGATTATCTTGGTACACTTGTTCATCTTCAATTCTTGATTTTTCTTCAACTCGATTAATAATTGATTTAATTATTATTTGCATAAGCTCTGCGTCTTGGGCTTCCTTTTGTGCCAAGTTATCTTGGGCAGAAAGGGGCTGTGGAGGATATGATGCATGGGGTTAATTACGCTTCTGCTGGCGCTGGCATTATTCTCTCCAGTGGCTCTGAATTGGGTCAGCATATCTCTTTCACTCAGCAAATTCAGCAATTTACTGACACCCTTCAGCAGATTATATTGAGTGTTGGAGAGGATGTTGCCACCACTCTCGTTTCTAATTCTGTCTTTTATGTTTCTATTGGAATCAACGACTACATTCATTACTATTTGCTCAATGTTTCCAACGTCGATAATTTGTACCCACCTTGGCGCTTCAACCAATTTTTAGCATCTTCTCTTAGGCAAGAGATCAAGGTCAAAATACCACAATTACATTTCTCATTCGATTTTCTACGGTCAAAGTTACGTGCATTTAGATTTACGATATCTTCGTTGCAATTTGTCAATATTTCTACGTTGGTAATATGATACAACTGATGTAGCTGCAACATTTTTTTAAAATTTAAGCTTTCTACATTAGTTAGGTGACATGACTAATATATATAATTTGTTTGTTTAATTATAAGACATCATCGGTTATATGATCGAATAAATGTTGATTTAGTGTTTTTTTTTTTGGAAATTTTTTGTTTGTTTTATATTATATTCAAGGTAGTTAAATCAGGATTCAAATTGTAGATCGAATGATCTATTTTTTGAATCGTAAATCAAATTGTATTTTGAATCATCGATAATTTAAAAAATAAAATACATAAATATAATAACATTGTAACATAAAGAAATATCTATATATTAATATTTTGAAGTAAATAATATATAACTAATAATGTGACATACACTTATAAGCAAATTAAAATTTAAATCATAACACTCAGTTACATTATAAAAAAAGTGACTGCTCAAAATCAATATATAGTCTTTCAAAAAGATAAACAAAAAATAATAGCAAGTTACTATAGTAAAAATTCAAAAGTTAATGAATGATCATTCACCATCCCCAAGATTTATGTCACTTAGTTTATCATCTTCATCTTCCAAAATCAAAAGTTCTTCCTCTTCCACACTCTCTCTAATAATGCCTTCAATTTCATCATCATCTTCTATTATAGATTTTTCCTTCTTATCAGCTTTGACATTTAAGTTTCTTGGACCTATAAAACCAAAATAATGGAACAAGCATGACAATATGTATTGGGGTAATTAAATTTTTAGTATTTTTTGTTCAAGTTCTAATTCTAAATCAGCACAAATACCTGTTTTTCTTTTCTTTCTTGAAGCTCCCTCTTCAAAAATAAAGCACTCATGTATATCCATCCATGAAGCATAATTTGGTAAGCATGGATCCTCTTTTTCAATAATCCATTCATCATCTGATTCAATGTCGGATAAGCATATGGGATCATAAGTCTCTCTCCTCTCTTTTCTACACTTTTGTCTCATCTCTAATTGTAAGTTATATTTAACAAACACAAGTGCATTTAGTTTTTGTTGTTTCAAGCGATTTCTTCTTTTAGTATGCACTTGATCAAATGTACTCAAATTCCTTTCACATTCTATTGCACTACATGTAAGACTCAAAATTCTCATGGTTACATTTTGCAACTCTTTACCATCTCCACCATAACTCTTCCACCAAAGAGCTATAAAAATTCAAAACAAAATATGTATAAACAATTAGCAAGATTAGAAACACCATCTGTTACAACTTGCACTATATTTTTTCCCCAATTTCATCTACCATGCTGTCCAATAATTCAAACATTTGCTTAGCATCCTTAATTACATCACTAGTATCAATAGATTTTAGAAAGACAATCCCATTAGGATTGTTAACAAGAAAATTAGTAAGTGACCTTCCTTTCCCATTTGTCCAACCATCACACATCAAAGTGCAGCCCCATTTCTCCCATTCACTTTTGTATTTCTCCAAATTTTGATGGATGTTATCAACTGCTTTCTTCAAAAAAGAGACTCACTTGGAGGTTTTAAACCCCTGCCAAATTCTCCAACAACTTTTACCATTTGAATAAAATAGGAGGCTTCTAACCAAATTAAATGGTAAGGCATTAACATAAATACATTTGCAAATTTCTTGAATGACAACATCTCTATCTTTGAGCATTGTATTCATTGTTGTTTGCTTCAAATTTTTAGATGTCCCTCCATTTTCTTTGTTTACAAAAGAATCCATATTTTTCTTTTGATGACCACTTACATCCTGAGTCTCAGCTTCTTCAAAAAATTTCAAGCTATTTTTACTTTTTTTTCTTTTCTTTCTCTTCTAAAAGTTTGATGAATATCTCTTTTACCTCATCTGGAACACTTGTACAGGCACTTACATTTGCTCTTGTTCCAGCTAGATGATGTTTCATCCTTGCAATTCCACTCCAACAAGAATGAAAACAATATTTGCATTTCACTAATAGCCTGTGCGAAGGGACACTTTCACAGTATTTCCATGTGATATCACTTTCTTTTGTTTTTTTGGTAGGACCAATTTGTCTCCCCAAATAGCAAACAACAAGTAGAAAAGAGAAGAGAAACCAAATAAAAAAACAAGGAACCGTGGCAGAGGAAGGGGAGACCACCAGAAATATTGAATAGGAAGTAGGAAGTTGTGAGAAGTCTCACAATAATGACAGCAATGTAATAGGAAATAGCATTAATACTGAACTATGTACATGGAGAAAAGAGAAAAGGGAAGAGCGAGAATGAAAGGAGAATGAGAAAATAGGGTTTTCTTTTAATATTTTGCAGTGGGTCTTTCAATAGAAGCCATCTAAGGTAAATAACGGCCTTTCTGTAATTTTTTTTTTTAAAAAGTTTTTTTAGGGTTTTACTGTACCGGGTCATGCCGACCCGACCCGTTTTTTGCATGACCCGGTTTGTACCTGAATCGTGTGCCGCCCACTAAATCGCATTTCAGCACCAGTTCTGTTGATTTGTGCAATTCGCAAACGATTTTGGATCAAAAATGATACTGCACATGATTTGTATCGCTGCCCCTAAAATCCGTATCGAATCTACTGATTTGTATCGCGTATCGCGTGATACTTACTACCATGATTATATTTACTTTTTATTGCAGTTCTATAATAATAGATTTTTAATAAAATATATTATTTTAAATCGGTTATCTATCATAACTGATGTACAAATTCTCACTATTATAAATTAAACATTGCAGAATCACTAAAAGGTTAACATAATGCTTACCACAATTTAATTGATTAATTAATAATGTAACTCCTATGCGTCAAAAGAATCACTAATCATGTAACAATAAGTCATAATACTCACAATCAATGTAGATATAAAAATGAAGTATTTTACTTTCCTACCCTTTAATAGTAACATTAATCCATGTTAATCATCTGATTTTTTTTTTAATATTGAAATCCATTCAAATTCTAGCCATCCATTTACTATATAAAAAATCAACAATATGAAATAATTTATATTTTACTTACTAAAAAGTATTTTACTTCTTGCAACAAATGGGAGGATAGTAGAATTGAAGCTTTGACAGAAAATGTAATATTAATTTTACTTACCAGTAAAATTACTTTCTCATAAATCAATTTCAAGTAGCAATTAATGTTTAGAAAATTAAAGTGATGAATTTTAACAAAAGTATAGTTTATTACTCATGTTTTTATAATTGAAAAACACCTTCTAAACAATTTTAATAAAGTCTTATTTTATTCTCTATGTTTGTGTGTGGATAAAGTATTTTAACAAGTATTGTATTTATGGATTATTTTAAAGTTATCTTTTAAACATTTTAAGTTTTCTCTATGCTTTACGTTGTTAAAATTAGGATAAGCTCAAAAGTTAATAAAGTTTTGTTCTCTTTCTTTTGCTTTAATTAAAATCAAAATTTTAAATATATATTGCTTATTTTATTTTTTTAATAAAAAATTTTCTTTTATTTTCAAAAAGGAAAATATTAATCATAAAAATAAATTAAAAAAGCTATAAGTTATTTTAGAAGATGCTAAATTGCTAGCTAATGTCTTAAATGTACTGATTTGAAAATTAAAAAAATAATTTTTTCATTAAAAAAACATTAAAAGACACTTAAATATTTTTTAATATATTTTAAAAATTATTTATTAAAATCCTTTAAATTTACCTCAGTTAACAAGATTCCACTGTGTTTTTTATTGCAAAATGTAACAACATTTTCCCCCTAACAAAAGGCCAAAGGGAAAGAAAAATTAACGCATGGGAAGCGAAGTTGCAATTGACCTTTTCTTTTTGCACTCCAACGGTACAATTACAGTAAAGAAAGCGCCACAAGGGCTACAAACAAACAGGAGCAAATGAACCCACCGCACAACAGCACCATTCGGAGTGGGAATTCAAATTCGCAATCATCTCATGCATGCCACATTTAAATTTGAAAATGAAAAGGTTCAAATGACCCGAAGAATAAAAATTAATGTATATCCAAAATACACAATAAAAATTTTGTTAAAAGAATATACAAAAAAATAAATAAATTTATAATATATAATATTATTAATGTACTAAAATTGATATACATTAAAAAAATAAAATAAAAATACTAAATGTAGCAAAATTTTCAATTAACGTTCCATAGCAATTTACCAGGGAATGTAACAATGTCCAACGGTCAATAGATATATCATTCGTCTAATCGTCACGGATTGCCAAGTCGATGACTCGTGAGAAAGGAGAAAGCAAACGAAATTATCGCGAGTTGAAGACGAGTCGACCTATATCACTCAGACATGATTGGTGACTCGTCATTACTACCCATATTCCTGGCAGTGCTCTCTCTCTCTCTCTCTCTCTCTCTTCTCAAGTTCAAAATTGAAAGAAAGCACACACAGAAAACAGAGCACGCAGAAATTGAATTGAATTGAATCTGTAAATGGAGAACCTAATCTCTTTGGTGAACAAAATCCAGAGGGCTTGCACGGCTCTAGGCGACCACGGCGAAGCCACCGCCTTACCCACTCTCTGGGACTCCCTCCCCGCTATCGCCGTCGTCGGTGGCCAGGTTTGTTTCCGTCGTCTCTAATTTCACGCCGTTATTTCTCAACTAACGCCGTCATTTCATTCCCTTTCAGAGCTCTGGAAAGTCCTCTGTATTGGAGAGCATTGTTGGGAAGGATTTCTTACCCCGCGGCTCTGGTAATTCTGTTCTCCCATTAACAACTTCATACACATACTCGTTAACTGTTTGTTACTTACACGTGCTGCGTGCAACGCACGTGCAGGGATTGTTACCCGGCGACCCCTTGTTTTGCAGCTTCACAAGACTGACGAGGGTTCCAGAGAGTATGCAGAATTTCTTCACCTTCCCAGAAAAAGGTTCACCGATTTCGGTACTTGACACTTTCCCAACTTTTTTTTTTCTCTTTGCTAATTATTATTATTATTATTATTATTATTATTATTACTGTTAAGCTTGAAGTAATTTTGCAGCTGCTGTGAGG